TCATTACTGCCCTGGCCGAAAGTTAGATAGCCAAAAAAGTTCAATAGTTGGATTAGGAAAAAGGTCCAGACAGTAAGTAATAGTTTTCTCTCCATCTCTGTGCTTAGGCTGAGGATTCGACTGGGGCTCTCGGAATTATGCATAACTTATTTCAGATGTTAAGTGCGGTTCTCACTATGGATGTAAGCACGATTGCTTGGGATACTATTCGAAAGACCAAGTTTAAGTTCATTTAAATCGGCGATGTTTTCTTTGACTCCAATTATGTGTGAAAGAATCTGCAAAACTCGTTTGCGGAGTTTACACTGAGGGTAATTTTGCATGTTATGAAGCATACCAGTTACTTAAAATCTGTGTGTTTGTGATGAGTCTCGAAATTAGCCAAAATTTTGAACTCATGACTTGTAATGCTGAGGGCATTGAGCTGGCCTCATAACTTTGCAGATTTCAGGTTACGATCATGCACGCGAACAAATGCGCACACAAAAATACAAACATTTCATGACGCTCTTTTGCATTAATTATTATCCAGGAACTCCTAAATCGGCAAGGTAGCACCTCATCGCAGTCTAAGTAAAAAATCGTCTCGAAAAATGCCAGATGAATTGATAACGCTACTATATTTTAAAACAGATAGTCTTCCCAAGCTTTTGTATTTTCAGGTGATATTCTGAACAGGTAATCCTTTCAGAGGACTGAAAAAGAGGACGAGAGCGCTGGAAAACTGGCCATTTAGCCAATAGAGCACTGGTCAGAGCATCTGGAAAAGCTGCCGGCTGTAGAGCCGGAATACTGTGTTATGAATTGTACCTAACCAGTAAAAACTAAACGTAAAATCGGTAAGTGAAAAAAACTTTCGATGAAAAGTAAAACACTGATTCGTGGGATAAAACCATAAACAGGGAGAATGCTGCTTTTAAGCTTCCTTCAAGATATGGAGTGATATTTACAAAGCGCGAATGAAGATGTGCCGCGTGTTGCTGCTGGTTGAAATCGCGAAGAGCCTTCTTCTGCTTCAGCTGATAACCAAAATTTTATCATCGTTTTTCTTGACAAGCAACTTTTCTCTCTTTCTCTATCCGGGATGACAAACATCCATTGCTTACGGCTTTCCAGGCGTCCCCATGCGATCCTGTTTTAACACTCGGAAACCCGTTCCTTCGGCCTTTGTCATCACGCAGTGCGCACACCGTGGCTGAATTGTTTGTTTGTTTCTTTATATATATTTTTTTCTCTCCTCTAAACAGTTTCGAGAATGAACAATGTTTTTGGAAATCCTTTGCAAGAGTTTTTGATGCTTTCTACAACTTTCTACAAAAATTTTTAATGTGGGGAATTGAGCTAATGTGACCTGGAAGCGACGATGACTGAGGCAAGGTGGTAGTATTTGACATATACCAGTAAAATCTTGAAATGACCATAACTTAGTCAATTGCTTCGGTCGGGAAAGCCATTGAACTGGAAATCCTTTGGAAAACGTTGGGCTTCGCCAGAATTGACGACCAGGAGAAGTAGCGTTGGTCAAAGTAATAGCAGTTACCAGATGTACAGCTGGAGAAACAGACCGTGAATGTGGTAGTACTTGATTGCTGACGACAAGGTGGCTTGATTTAGAGACCACTGTTGAAAGCAAAATGTAGTAGAAAATTTGACTTGTAAACTATACACTACTCTGAAACTATCGTTCTGATGGGGTCCGTATGTAGTGCTGAATAGGAATGTATGCGACTTAATGGATTGAAGCATTTTTCAAATTTTTATGATTAGTTTTCACATTTTTTTATGCGTTTTTGCTGTGCAGCGCTATAGCAGCGCTATAGCGCTGCTACAGCCAGCAAA